TCTCTAACGGAAGAAATCGTTCGACACCGCATCCGATGGTTCGGTCATGTTTTGCGTATAACTGCTCATCGACTGCCTCGCCGTGCTCTCTTTGCGCATGCTGGGCAAGGTTGGAAGAAGCTTCGCGGCGGTCAGACCATGATGTGGCGTAGAGGCATGAAGAAACTGGCTTCAGCATTGGCTTCGGTTGGTGCAGCTTGCCTTCCAGGCTGGGGCCCAAGGGATGAGAATTGCAGATGGCTAGAGACGCTGGGAGATATGGCTCAGAATAGAGTCCGTACCCCTCCATAACTTCATTATCATTGTTTTGCATTGGCACCATGCTTGTTCTCAAGCCGGTGTGATATATATATATATATATATATATATATATATAAAGCAATATCATCGGTATACTTTAAGTCTACGACTGTCTGCAGGGTGGAGCTCGACAACACTGTTGGTCACGTTAACGGTTTTGGAAGAACATTATCTATGACAAAGTTGAAGAGAAACGAAGAGATAGGGCAAACCTGTCGTACTCCACATAGGATCTCACTAGATTAGGTGTGGTATTCAGTTGGACGACAGCGAAGCTTCCTACCACCAGACCCAGGGTGGGATCCTTATTTTGGATACTTACGAACCGTATTCAGCTCAAAGCAAACGGTCTTGTTGTTGATTCGTCCCTAACATTAATTCAAATTACAATTACTTTTCCATCATTTTCCTGTTCCATTTCTGCTTTTCGGAACTTACCGATCTGCTCGTTCCCCAAGCACCATCTGGTCGTGAAACATCACCATAAGCCACTCTAAAAATGCCTACAAAAGACTACTGAACGGCCGCCTTGTTTCCACTAACCATGAAAAACTCTAAAACACCTTATTATTTTGTATCATATCCTCTGATACAACCTCGATATATTCAAACGAGGAATCAATTAGTTATCTGTCATATAACATATAACATATTCCTAGTCCTTATTGTACAGTTTTTGATTGCTACATTGCTTATCACAAAAAAGCTCCACCTGTAGGAGCAAGTTAGCTAACAGCAAAAGTAAGCATTAGGGTTATGTTAAAGTCTGAAGAGCGATGGGGAAGTGCCTTTCCAATGTCCGGCAACGTAGTAGAGAATAGGCTTAAAACTCCAAACTACATAGTTTTAATTTAGGTTTCGGTGTTTTTAGCCCATTGCGATTCTGGTGGCCTCGTATCATTCCTGATTCATAAATAAGGATTAATATTTTCAAAATGGGACTCACAAAAGAATCACATACATGCATTTAAATATCATACTACGTAAGGTGTTGTGAACAAAATAGGTGAATGAAACATGAAAAGTAAAATAAACGATAACTGCTACCGGAAGTAACATCACAAATATACTTACCAATCTTGGGCATGTGTGAATAACTAACAAGATCGAATACAGCGCGCTCCAAACTGTAGTGAAAATACTAGTCACATAGCTCTGTTTAACTTCACGAGCTCGTGGAATGCGTTCAATGAAATACTGCATAATTAAGTATGAGAAATGTTCGTAACGAACCTTGCCGTTTTTATTTTCCTCCAGCTTACGCAGCTCAAATTCACTCATAGTATCGGTATTGGCTACAGCATAGATTCGTGGAGAGTATTGATCACTCAGGCATCGAACATATGATACCATCTCCGCGGTGTGACCACCTAATAATGTATCACAATAATATAAATTTACTTACCGGAGCCTAAAACTATCATAGTTCTGATGTGTGAGCCTGAAAGGACTCCCGAATTCCGAGTCCATAGGATCGAAAAAAGCAGAAAGACAATCAGGCAAGTAACCGATAGTATAACGAGCTGTAGTAGCATTTACCTGTAAAAGAAAAGCATTCATGAATCATTTGGCACTTTTCTGAGTACTTTTCATAACCGACACTGATGCATTTAGAAGAAAAACCTGAAAATATCTCACTGTGCTATGTAAAGATGTTTTCTGTAATCAATAACTGACTAAGAAAGCCCCAGTATAGTTGGGGGTGTGTCTCGGGTTTCAGCTAAACATCTTTCCCATGCATCTCAAGAACTGCTCCTAAATGACCAAGCATCTCAACCAGCCTCTGTTGAGAAAACCTTATACATTGCTTTCCCCTGCCAGTTTTCCTACCAAAGTCCGAGGAAGAAAAGCCAACATCTGGGGCTACAAAAGAGTCGGTGAGCTGTTGCCATTCAGTTGATTTAAATCCAACCAAGAAGAGGAGTACGAAACCCCACAAACTGCTTCCTGGTTGTGGCAGAAGTCGATGGTTCGACTTGAGCGTTTAACCCAGTCCAAAGGGCGTATGATCCAATGAACTGGACATCGATCCCCAGTGGATTGCGGTTTTCACTTACCAATTCTTATGAGTTAGGCTTTGGCAAGCCAAACGCTCCCACAGAAAATCCACCTTCCTTGGTCTGAGCAACCTGGTAGTATTGCAGTCACTAGTACACCATGACTCGGGAGAGCAGAGCTGTATGCTACCGAGCGCGTCCCCAGGTCGCCGATAGGGGAACGACCGTCAACTCGCAGCTAACCGTGAATAAGGTGGGTTTCGGCCCTCCGAATAAGAGGTCGCGGACGATCAGCGGCAGCGCTCGAGGATGTGGTAGGTTCAACTCCTGGCAAGGGTTCTCCGCAGAAAAAAAACAAATATCTGTGGACAGCGCTGTGACGTGGCGAGTGTGGCCCACCACTAAATATGGCCATTGCCCCTTGTCGAGTTCCTTTGCCCGATAAGGTTTTCCAGAAGAGGCGAATGAACCGAAAACCGTCCACCGGGTCATCTGGAATATCACTGCTGCCCTGCAGTCCGCGCTTGGTCGCGCAAAGGCTAGAGTGTATCCTCGAAAAGGGCCTACTCTGGACTGAGTGACCGAGTAGTACAATAGCCCACAACGCAGACAAATATGAATGCTCTCGCTCTCATGAGTTCGCAACATAAACCTTCAACAATCGAAAAACTTTCTACACCGTATACACCCTTTTGTTCTCCCAGTCTCTCTTTCCCACCTCACTTCTACCCCTCCCCCCAACTTTATTCCATCTCCCTCGGGTACTTCAGACGAACGTACTAGCAGTGGTGCCTCGGGCGGAAATTCTGCCGCTATTCGCTCTTGTCCTA